ATAAGAATGACTGTAAAGTACAGTTTAGACATCCGCGAGCCTAAATCGACAATTTATCCATCCCGTGTGCGACGCCCGCACGAGGCCGATCGATGTGTCATGCTTTCAGCAACGCATGCAGGCTGTCACCCAAAAGCTTCCTTCTGAGCGCAGTAGCCGGTACTTCTCTGACTCGTATGTAATAACACGCCATTTTGAGTTGGTAATTTGGTACAACTTAGTGAACTAGCACGCTGGCATACTTTTTCAGCGGATTGCATTAGTAATTCCTTCGGCGGCTTCTTAGTTGCAGGTATCAATATAACTGCAAATATCGTTACCAGCTAGCAGTGGCCGATTACCGACGATTGGCAGCAGCTTGGACTCCCATTGGCTTCCGTTATCATTGGCCAATGCCTGGACAGTGTGACAGAAAATGGCATGGCCTAAAAGCAAAATATGGGCGAGATGGTAGCGAAAACCTCAATTTTTATTAGTTTTTGGTCGTTCTCCTAGTTTTTCGTTCTCAATAATATAAAGAAAACAAAAGTTTTGCGAAATACTTTTGATAATTAACATGGAGGCCGAGGGCTTTCTTGACACATACAATGGTGGCTGGTCTATGCTGACAGAATTTGCCTGGGCATCAAGGCTACTTACTTTTGTGTATTATATACTATTCGACGAAAATTCGGGGCACGGGAGCATGTACAAGGGATGTACAAGGTCACTTTGTCGCGAAGTCAGACGAACAGCTACCGAATAGCCACGGATGATCATTTTTTCAGTCCTTAATTCAGTTCGCACTGGCTTCTCTATGGAATACCTCTTTTTGTTTTCTTTTCATCCAAAGCACCAGAAGTGTACCAGCAAGTGCACAGTGTGGCGTTTAAACTGCACACTTTCCACCATGCGCGCGCCGTTTGGCCCATGCACAGCCCTACTGCGCTTTAAAAATAGTTCACCAAAGCCTCCAGACAGGCCATTCTCAGATGCCTACAAACAGCTATAAAGGACTTACGTACTAGCACAAAAGTCATCAAAATATTGGAAATAATCTAGCTTTAAACCACTATACACGCATGCGGCGTTTATGCTCGCTTTCACATTCTACCGCGTGCATGTATGTCTGCGCGCCATCTTCACCTTGTTTGCACGTTGGATAGATCTCACGGCCGTCACAGCCGTGCAGTGACCAGCTGTTTATTGAAGTTCAACTTGAAGGTGAGTAAGTATCAGCAGTACCTGTATTTGCCCTTGTTCTCTCAGTGCCTTATGCGAATTGGCGGTCAGGTTTACAACGGCGAAAATAGCGCATGTGTTAAGAAGCGGGCGCTGCGTAGTCCTAGCTGTAGTCCTAGCTCGTCTTGGCGAGATTGAACATGGCGTAGTTTTCTTTTGTTACAAGTAAAAGCCGGACAAATTCGAAACGTTCTTCGGCACAGTGTTCAAGCATCGATTCAATTCGGTGTATTTTTTTTTAAATGAGCGATACACTGTTTTCGGGAAAAACTTGAAATGAACCAAAACGGCGCGGTCCGAAGGACAGTCGCCCAGCCGCTGGTTGTGTATGTTGACGCGTGGTGCGCGGCTATTTCTTGTTTGCTTCTGGCAAGACTTCTTGTCGCTGACGACGAGTGCATCTCGCTAACGCGCCATGTGATTTAGGGTCGACGCCAGTGCTTTATTAATTAATTCGAAATTATAAACTTGGGCGTGCGGTCATATTTAAAAGGTAAAATAGATATGAAGGCTGGTGCCGAATGCCAGAAAATCATGGGGTGACCATCGAAATTCTTCTGCGCCTGTAATTTTTTCCTTTTACGTAAAGATTTGACGCAGTAGGGTTCCTCGGTATTGTTGGGTCTACTTTAGTAGAAATATACATTTGAAAAAAGTTATGATGAAATTTGAGCTTAAGCGGCTTCGTGATTTCGTTTATCGATATTGAGAAAGTTGTCATTTCAGATGTTGGCGCAGTTTGAAAGTTGTGGTTAGTGAATAAGTACGCAACGTTGGTGAGCCATGCTAGTCTAAATTCAATGCATTTATTCAAAATTTTCATTGTATTATCTGTCGTAAATGATGTATAATCATCTAAATGTATTATTAGTTACGTATATCCGCTGTATTGTTTTGCATGGAGTGAGTGCCAGTCGTCAGAATATTTTTAAATTACACCAAAACACGATTCTTTCAGTTGTCCAACAAGAAATTTATGAAATTTAAACAAAAACTGCTGTTTACATGAAGTAATTAGGCCTGAATGCTTACTGAGTCTTGCGAATTTTATTCACATTTTTCTACAACGAAGGCATACTTTCGCCAGTCCTACAAGTACTTTGTAAATGTGCAATGGACATTTTGATGAACTGATGCTGTTTTGTTATGGGAAGATTATCTTTATGTTGGTACCACAACCACTGCATATAGTAGAGGATTTTCAAAGCTTTTATACATGTGTTACGTTTATCAATTTTCTCATTTATGTATTGCTTTTTTTCTTACAGGTGAGCTATTCCTAAAAAAATGTCAGCAGTGCTGAATACGCTGTGCACAGAAAGCTTCATCATAATTTACTAGTGTGGTTACGAAGAAGTACTGCTGAGTCACTGAGAACAATTTTCCATTTATATACCTGCAAATGTGCGGCCGCTGCTGCTTGGTGAGCATCAACAGAAAACAAATAAATTGGTTTCTTGCTTTAGCTTTTATTGTCAACATCCTCATGACTTTTTGTTATGTAGACTTCTCTATGCTGTGATATTTTGGTTGCTGTTTTTAGAAAATGTTTCACTATGAACAGAATATTGCACATACTGCATCACTGATGTTTTTTATGAAAATTGGACCTAATAATATACTTTTTTTTTCATTTTACATATGCTGGCTCCCTGAAAAAGCCAACTTCTGCCATCTCAAGCAAAGATTGAGCATCGAAACAGTTTCACTACCATCATATTCACCACTTCAATGTTGTTTGATTCTATTTCCTGCTCTGTCAGCTTGCCGATTTATGGGAGCCGAGAACCAGAGCACCTAACCAATTTCATCGTTTTAACATTTAGCTACACTACTAAGCGGCAGCACTGCTCTATAATAAGCATTGAAATATATTAAAGAACTTACAACACAAGCTACACGACCAAAATAACCTTCATAATGGAATCTGCATTCAATACCTCAGTAATGTTTTCAAATATAAAAATACGTACATACAAGAAAAAGCAAGGACACTTAACAGTGCTTCTGTGCCAATGCTGCTTTCCTAATGATATCAGTAAAAGATTACCGTTTTTCAATCGAGAGAATATATGTTATAATGTGCGAGATGTTTTTTTTTGTATTGATGGGAGTCTCTCATGACTATTCACGCTACTTCAGTAACGAAACTGCATCATGCAGTCAAACAAGTATATTCTTCACGTCTGTGCAGATGCTGTCATTCTCATAATCATGCATATCGAATTTGCTTCCCAAAAAAATGTTCCTACTGTGTTTTGTTGAAAATTGGTGAAAGTGGTGGTCTAAATGATGGCTTATTGAACAAGAGGACCTCATGATGTTATTTTGTTTTCTCATTTCCCAGATGAGACATACTCTGTTTAACAAAGCTGACGCAGCTGTTTCGGACGTAACAAAAGGATTGCTCATGTTTGCTTCTGATCAAGAAGGTGCACCTTTGCAAGAAGGCATGCCACTATGATGGATTACTTCAAGCGAAGCCCATGCAACACTTCAGAGTCACAAAAGTTCGGAAAATGAAAAAAATGACATATTGCCTTCTGTATAATACGGGTAAAATAAACATGAAGCACCTAAATTTTTATCTTGTTACTTCTAGTGGGGGGAGGCATGCGAAAATCTTGAAGAAAGTAGCCGGGCATCCAGTTGTAGCCAAGATGAAAACTAAAATGAATTGGCCCGATAATGCATTGGCCCAAATGCTTGGCTCTGATTCCAAGAACATGCTTGGCTATTGCATGGTATTCCAACGCAGTGCCGTATTTGTAAAAGGGTGTTTCCAATGATTTTCCAAGCACGGCCTTATTTTGCTTGGCCGATGGCAGGCTTGTCATACTTCCCAAGCACATACTTTCCTTGGCCTTTAATAACTTTCCAAGCATGGACAGCTTGGCCACTGATGATTTATCATGCTTGGCCCAAGCAAATTATGCTGGTAGGGATGTATACAATCTGTGGCTGCTAGTCCAGTCAATTTTAGTTTTTTTTTCAGAATTAAGATGCGGATGCTTTAAAAAAAAACTTTGTGCTCTTGCCAATATCCTCAAGTCATTCGGTGCCCGGAAGCCGTTCGTAACTGTTGAATCAAGACGCAATTTGTATTTGGAAAGGAATATTTTGTCAATCTTCACTGTGCAACTTGCGAACATGAAGTCGAACGGCGTGTTGTTCGGATAAATATACATTTTACAACCCAACAAACACGCTCTGGTGTGCTGTGGTGGGTTGTATACTCTGTTCGAAATCGGGAGATGGCGAGTTCGAATTCCGACAGGACGCATTTTATAGTTTCTATTTTTTGTTTTTTAATTCCTAATGTGAATGCGCGCTGATTTATTTATTTATGTATTTATTAATGGGGAATGAGTACAAACTCTTTAACCTGTGAAGCCATTTTGCGCAGAGTACTGGGACACTACCGCTTCAGCGTCCCAGTACCACCGCTGGGAAGCGCTGGTACCAGCGCAATGCTAGGCCCATAATCAGGCATGGCGCTGGACGCTGGTACCCAGTGGGGTTGGTTTTTCTGCAATAGGGCCACCAACTACACAAGTCAATCCACACAAAAAGTGCTTGATAACGCTGAATTGATGAGTTCATTTCCCGTAAGTTAGACACAGAGATTATAGTGTACCAGCTATCCACACTGAATCCGGCAGTGGTGCTTATACAATTCAAAAGCGAGTGCGCATCATCCGGAATGTCACGCGAAGTAGCCCAAAGAAGGGCATCAACTCTTTGAATCGCGTCCCAGCAATCGTCTTCTTCACGCGCAGCCCAACACCCCAATGGCCACGAGCACAGTAGACGACATCTTGGTACATCTGGGGCCCTGGCACTACCCGGTGCTGGTGTTCTGCTTCTTCCGAGGCTTCCCGGCAGCCTATTACGCCATGTCACTCTCTTTCACGGCTCCCTCCCTGCGACACTGGTGCGCCAGGCCACCACAGCTGCGAAACTGGACCTCACAACAGTGGCACTCAGAAGCCGTGCCTCCCACTGAAGGTATGGTAATTGTGCCTATCACCGACCGAAGTGGTCCAAGGACCTGCCAGTAAACGTACTCCCTAAAATTTACTAAACGAGTTCTTGTAAGCACAGTACTATAGGAGTCCTAAAGGGAACCTCAGTATGGCGTCTCCATATATAATGCCGTTATACCATGCAGTGACATCAACCTGGAAAAAGGCGTTTCGGCTTCCCTCATGGAAGCCTGTTTTTTTAACAAGGCTCCCATCAATGAGACGAAGACGTCCTTTTCAAATAATTTTCAGTGCAGAGCATTTCAGGTGGCCGGGCGGTCCTATGCTGTCGTGTGCTGCAGATGTTGTTATCGTCACGTCACGCAACGCTCCGTGCGTATCATATTGAGCGCGCGCTCACATCAAGAAATCTTCCTCTTGTTCTTCGAGTGCCTTAATGATGATCAGTTAGCGAAAATCCTTGAGACCCGTGGGTTTAGACTAAAGGTGATTGTAAAAAAAACCCAGTTGGTCAAAGTTTCCGGGGTCTTCCACTGCGGCGTCTTACGTAGTCATATGTGGGTTTCGGAAATTTAAACTTAAATAATTATTATGAATAATAACGATCACTCATACTCGTCAGACAAAAAGCTAGTGTGCTTGGCCGAATGCTGGCAAAACGACGTATAAACAAAAAAGTGCCTGATCTCACTCATTTGGCGTTTGATGTATTGTGAGCAGGCAGCAGGAATCAAATTATTCTGTACATAACGTGTATGTCATGACTTACTTGCTAAGACCTGTTATTTAGGCTTTCATACAACCACGTCAGGCAATAGCTATTTTCTCCTGTACCGAACTAGCAAAACGGCTGCTTGTGCACCATGATTGATTTTTGCGTGGGGTGTAACGTCCCTAAACCACCATATGATTAAGAGAGACGCCATAGTGAAGGGCTTCGGAAATTTCGAGCACCTGGGGTTCTTTAACGTGCATCCAAGTCGGAGTACACGGGACTACAACAATTCCACCTCCATCAGAAATGCAGCTGCCGCAGCCAGGATTCGGTCCCGCGACCTGCTGGTGAGCAGCCGAGTACCTTAGCCACTAGACGTCCGTGGCGGAGCGTGCTTGTGCGTCAAGAGCATGATATGTGCGCATGCCTTAAATATCATGCATTTCATGATTTCTTGCTACCAACTGTCGTCTAATTTCGCCATACAGTCATGTCACGTAATGCCAGTTTTGATGTATCTTAAGCTAGCGAACTGCACAAACGTGCTCATTTGCGCCGGTTAGTATATGATCAAAGAATCGATAAAACATTGCGCAACACAGGACATTGACAGAGGTTGACGAAGCGCTGAGCTTACAACCAACGCCCATTTGTTACATTGGGGTATATATAGAATAGGAAACTTCAAAAGGAGGGAAAGGACAAGAGCGACATGAAAGAGTAACTTTTGTTATATTTTTATGCCCTTGAGTAAAAAACTGATTACGCAATCAATCACTTGCCTGAATTAACTAGAACGCATGCAAACACAAAAAAAGTTACTCTTCCATGTCACTCTCCTCTTCTACCTCCTATTTAAGTTTCGTGTGCTAGATATACCTTCATGTATAAACTAAACTTAGGTTTTAAGTTCAGCGCCTCGTCCGTCTCCGTCACTGTTCTGTGTTACGTGCTGTTCTTTCGTTCGTTAAGTTAGCCAAACAGCTGCAAGCGTACCATGAGCTTAGCAAGTAAGCCGTGTATGCATGGCATGAATCGTATAAATTATAGTTAGGACTTGTCATTTAAGTCCGTCATACATACGAATCACACAATACGAAATTTGTTGTAGCCCTGCCGCGGTGGTCTAGTGGCTAAGGTACTCGGCTACTGACCCACAGGACGCGGGATCGAACCCCGGCTGCGGCGGCTGCATTTCCAATGGAGGCGGAAATGATGTAGACCTGTGTTCTCGGATTTGGGCGCAGGTTAAAGAACCCCAGGTGGTCGAAATTTCCGGAGCCCTCCACTACGGCGTCTCTCATAATTATTTGGTGGTTTTGGGACGTTCAACCCCACTTGTAAATTAACAAAATTTGTTGTATATCATCAAGGACGAAATACAAACAACCAGGAAATGACGTCTTCCCCGGAACCTGACCAAGAAGAGCGCTATTCTTTTCTTCCCCTCCTTACCGGGTACATGCCACAGCGTATGGCTCATACACTCTAAATTGTGGTGTTATTGCCTCTGCACGATAAGAATTGGCTTGATTCTGGTTATATGTACTAAAATGATAAATTCAGAAAACTCGTTCTTTTATAACCTATACAGTTGCTTCGTAAGGTAAGATAAATATGATAATGTCACGCAAGTAGTAAATAGATAAAGCAGGAATAGGCCTCGAGCCAGTACAAAAAACACAGAAACAAAGAAAAAAAAAGAAGCCAAGTTTTCATTGGAGCAAATATATTTGGCTTCACGCCTAGTTATTGGTCTTCTGCAACAGAATTTAAAAGGTATAATTATAGTAAACATCACAGCTACAGACACATCACCAGTCGAAGAAAAATCTGGCAACGGCATTTTTTTCCAAGACCTGTAACTGATAATTCTCATGAAGACTTCCATATTTCTTGTCAGTATTTTGGTGGAGCTTCTGGCAGTGATTATGGCATTAAGAAACATCAGCCCACCAACCGCAACGGCCATGCTTACTGATTCATAAACTTTGCGTTACGAGCTAAATTCTAATAGTAATTCGCAATTACCATGTACGTTTCATTTTCTGGTTTCCACTCATGTAACTTCCCCGCAGGGGCGTCTGCGCAAATAGGCGTTAAGTGCATAGCGACACCCCGAACCCGAGCTAACGAGGGGGCTTCGACCTGCTCCCACGCCTAGCTGTGCGTGGCTGAGCCGTGTCCGGAGAAAAAGGCATCCTGGGGGTCGAGCCGACGCTGGGTGATCGGACCTTTAAGGCCCCGCGGCAGAGGCGACACACCTCTTGAGTTAGAGTTTATTTAACCACGTGACAAGTACACGAAAATACACTGTATACGTGGTTTGGTGCGAAGGGAAAAAAGCTGCATTTTACAGCTTGACTTGCCCCTTCACACCGAAAAAAATTTGAACTACAAATTTACAAAAATACAAAAATTACAGGCAGCGGAATGCGACAATACAAAAAGAAACACGCATGTGGCCCTTGACAGCAAATAATAGAATCACAACTCTAAAATACACACAAAAATATTCATAACAAAGCAAAGCATGAAGGAATAAAAACTGAATAATCATTACAGAAATCACCCAACATTCATTTACAACGCAATCAGCACATCCGATTTAACATTTCGGTTTTCGACAATATACGCAGATTATCAGTTGTTAGTTTCCATTTGTTCATCACGCTTGGAAGGCGGTAACGTAGTGTTTCAAATCCATAGTTTGTGCGAGGACAAGGTACGTGCCAAGTCTCCGTACACCGAGTAACGCGACTGGCAGGATTTGGTTGCAAGGTAGCCAAGGTTCGTAAAAAGATACTTACTCTGCGTATTTTCCATTTAAAAGCTGACAAAAGCTGGTATTCGTAATAACAGGTACTTCTTAAAATTCTATATTTTGCCAATATTGAAGCAGTGAGTGCGTTATAGGATACACCTTCAATGCACCGCAAGGCATTTTTTTGTAACACGACCAGGTTCTTTAGAGATGATTTAGAGCCTGTAGACCAGACCAAATGACAATAGTGTAAATGTGAAGAAGAAAGAGCATTGCACACTTATATTTTTTGTCTCACAGGTAGTATGTTCTGGCATCGACGCAACACACCTAAAACTTTACAAAGTTTGTGACTAGTGTGTTCGGCATGGTAATTCCATGCCATGTGTTCGTGAAAATGGACACCGAGAGTTTTAACTGTTTGAGAAAGTTTAACTTCAACGTTATTAAGTATTAGTTTGTGAGAAGTTTCAAATGACCTGGCTTTCGCACGGAACAGTACAGCCTTTCTTTTAGAGCAATTATTGTGTAGAGAATTTGCCACAGTGCAGGCATATATTTTATTTAGTATTTCAATAGCAGAAACAATGAGGTCATCAGCCGTTTCCCCAGAAAAATGATACTGGTATCGTCCGCGTAGATTACATATTCTACAGAGCTGTGAATACGTACAAAATTGTTGATAAAAATATTAAATAACAGGGGTCCGAAAATGCTACCTTGAGGTTGACCACTCTTAAGGTACATGGATGATGATAGCTCTCGATTGATTTATACAGATTGTTTCATATTATAAATAGTAGCTTCTTATTAAAGCTAAAACGGCACCACGAACTCCATAACAGTCAGTTTTTCTAGCATAATATCATGGTTTATTCTATCGAAAGTTTTCGAGAAATCTAGAAATATTCCTAGGGTAAGTTTTTTTGCTTCTATATTTGTTAGAATCAATTCTTTTCGGTATAGTAAGGCACTTTCGGTTGAGAGGCCTGACTGAAAACCGAACTGTGACGGCGTAATAATGTTGTGTTTATTAAAGAGATGAGCCCCAGTTTTCCGTAGACGGCACCCGCCCAGGCGAACTTGGCAGTCGCCTTTTCCTATCTATGTCGCCCTACATGTTCATCTTTTTCTCCTCTTGAAATTTATCCTGTATTATTCTCTTTTTTTATTCACTTCATTGTTTCCTGGCGGCGAGGGTGAACCTCGTGTAAGTATTGAAGCTTGGGTATGCTATATCCGCTTATAATGATAGCGTACAGCTGGCGTTTTAGGCTTGGTTGAAATCTTGCCGCATCCCCTTGCTGGCTTCTGTGGTGAACGGTTGGTGCTATAGCCGAACACAATCAGTACTCTATAGCTAAACAAGTGTCCCTTTACCTACATTGCCCTCAGAAAAAAAGGCGCACTGAAGCACCTGTCCAATCCTTCCTGCAAAGCACTGACCATTTTCCTAAATATCATGTAATCCATAGTGAGGGCAACCTAGCTGCTCCTAAATTGTCCCTTTTCTTGGTGGTAAAACGCCTTGGAAACACCATTG